CCATGATCATGCCACTGTACTCCAGCCTGGGTGACAGAGTGAGACCCTGTCTCAAAGAAAAAAAAAAACAAAGTGGTAAGTGCTGTGACGAAAACAATTTAGGATGATGGGGGAAATAAATCTCTGTGAGGTAAATTCTAAAATTAACATAAAAACAAACAAACAAAAAGCCGGGTGCAGTGGCTCACACCTGTAATCCCAACACTTTGGGAGGCCAAGGCGGGCGGATCACCTGAGGTTGGGAGTTCGAGACCACCCTGACCAACATGGAGAAATCCTGTCTCTACTAAAAATACAAAATTAGCTGGGTGGGGTGGCCTCTAATCCCAGCTGCTCTGGAGGCTGAGGCAGGAGAATCACTTGAACCCGGGAGGCGGAGGTTGCAGTGAGCTGGAGATCGCGCCAATGCACTCCAGCCTAGGCAACAAGAGTGAAACTCCATCTCAAAAAAATAAATTAAATTAACACATACACTAATGCAAGCATTTTTTTCTCTGGAAAAATACAGAGATGTTTAACTGGTTACTTTTTGGGGTGAGGCTGGAAGGTGGGGGTTGGGGAGAAGAATTCATTTTTGAAAAAAATTTACCTTTCTGTAACTTTTGCTTTTTCTGACCGTGTATCTCTCTCTTTTTTTTTTTTTTTTTTTTTTGAGACAGGGTCTTACTCTGTTGCCCAAGCTGGAATACAGTGGCACCATCTCAGCTCACTGCAACCTGTGCCTCCCGGGTTCAAGCGATTCTCCTGTGTCAGCCTCCCTAGTAGCTGACATTAGGGGCGCCCGCCATCGTGCCCAGCTAATTTTTGTACTTTTAGTAGAGATGGCGGGTTTCATCATGTTGGCCAGGCTCCTCTCGAATTCCTGACTTCAGGCGATTGCCTGCCTAGGCCTCCCAAAGTGCTTGGATTACAAGCTTGAGCCACCGCCTCGGGCCCGTGTGTCTCTTTTTTTTAAATGGCAACAAAATGTAACTGGGTAGAGGGATTTCAGCCGTGTTTTCTCTTCCTCATTCTTTTCCAATTTTCCATTTCTTTTAAACAAATGCAAAAGTGAGGCTACAATTCTCATTTTTATTCTTTTATTCTGTGATGACTGGAGAAGGGTCTCACCTGCCAGAGACCTGTGCAATTAAAAAAAACCCACAGCTGAACCGCTCAGGGTCTGGCAATTTTTTTTTTTTTTTTTTTTTGAGACAGAGACTCGCTCTGTTGCAGATGGGAGATCTCCGCTCCCTGCAGCCCTGACCTCCCCGGCTCAAGTGACAGGCCCACCTCAGTCTCCCGAGTAGCTCGGACCACAGGCGCACACCATCATATCCGGCTAATTTTTTTTTTTTTTTTTTCTTTTTGAGATGGAGTCTTGCTCGTCGCCCAGGCTGGAGTGCAGTGGCGCGATCTCGGCTCACTGCAAGCTCCGTCTCCTAGGTTCACGCCATTCTCCTGTCTCATCCTCCCGAGTAACTGGGACTACAGGCATATCCGGCTAATTTTTAAATTTTTTGTAGAGACCGCAGTCTCGCTATGTTGGCCAGGCTGGTCTCCAATTCCTGGGCTCAAGCGATCCTCCTGCCTTGGCCTCCCAAAGTGCTGGGATTACAGGTGTGAGTCACCGCCCCCGGCAGGGGGTTGACAATTTTTACAAAAATGTGGAACATTTGGGATTTTCATTTCTAAGATTATCCTCCTTGCGTCTCTCCCTGCTCCCCCACCAAATAAAAAAAAAAAAAGAAAAACAAACAAAAAACAAACAAAACGAAAGCCCTTTTATGACTACAAAACCCAAACGTCTCATCTGAGAGGTCACCGCTTGGAAGGCACTGTCATGAGCTCTCAGACTTGCGATTCTTTAACCGGCATTCCTGAAACCCAGGTGTCCTTAGGATTTTTCATTTTTTGGTTTCTACAGACAGCTTTTCAGGGAAGTTGGCTTTGGGGACGAGGCCTAAGGGAGGCACCAGAGGCAGAAAAGAGGGGCTTCTGCCCTCGTCCTCCGTGGCGTCCCCACCCCCACCATCTCCCTGCAGCCTCCACCTCCGCCTCCGCTTCCATCCCACCCGCTTAGCTTTGACCCGCTCGGAGGAGCGCGTCCCGTGGTTGCCATGGAGACCGCCGGACTGCGGAGGCCACAAACTGCAAGAGGGAGGGGAGGGGCGGGGCCGTGGGAGGCCCGGGGGCTGAGCGCGGCGGCTGGGAGCCAGCCAGGGAGAAAGAGGAGAAAAATCCAGCGAAGCCCAACGACCTGGCTCTGCAAGAGAAAAACAACCTGAATAAGCCAGTAATTATGAACAGGCCGCTCGCTGAGACTTAACTTCCCCTAAGCCCCACGTATGTTTTCTTACCCTCTCGCCCGTCTCTTTTTCCTCCGTTCCCTCTTTAAAAATTTGCCTGGCTCCTTTACGAGTTAAATAAGATAACATTTATTTATTTATTTATTTATTTATTTATTTATTTATTATTTATGTATTTACTTATTTGAGACGGAGTCTTGCTCTGTCGCCCAAGCTGGAGTGCAGTGGCGCGATCTTGTCTCACTGCAACCTCCCTCTACTGGGTTCAACCAATTCTCAGTTCCTCAGCCTCCCCAGCTGGGATTACAGGCAGGTGCCACCACGCCCGGCTAATTTTTGTATTTTGTTTGTTTCGTTTTGTTTTGTTTTTTGTTTTGTTTTTGAGACGGAGTTTCGCTCTTGTTGCCCAGGTTGGAGTGCAATGGCACAGTGTCAGCTCACTGCAACCTCTGCCTCCCAGGTTCAAGCGATTCTCCTGCCTGAGCCTCCTGAGTAGCTGGGATTACAGGCATGCGCCACCATGCCAGGCTAATTTTGTATTGTTAGTAGAGGCGGGGTTTAACCATGTTGGCCAGGCTGGTCTCGAACTCCTGACCTCAGGTGATCCACCCGCCTCAGCCTCCCAAACTGCTGGGATTAAAGGCGTGAGCCATGGCGCCCAGCCTGAGATGGAGAAGTTTCAAAAGAGTAGAGACAGATCGGACCTAAGTTTTTAAAAGATGCCCCCAGCTTCTGGGTGGGGCCTGGATTGCAAGCAGTGATGGGGAGGCAGGGAGCCCAGTGAGGGGGATTTGTACACATCCAGGCAAGACAGCCTGCAAGTATTATGGCTGTTAAGGGGTTAAATGGTTCAACGCATTTAGGAGAATGAGATTAGCTGTGTCTTTAGCGTCTGCTACTGTTTATGCTAGTGCCCAAGATCTGGTTCTAATATTAGATCCACCACTCAGAGCTGTGCAACTTCAGACCGGCCTCAGTTTCCCCATCTGTAAAAAGATGATTGATGGCACTGGCCTTATTACCATGTACCTCTGAGGATTCCTAACAAGGAGGTGTATTCAGCATATCTTTTGATGCCTCGTTCCAAAGATGTGGACCAATGCTAGTCGCAAGTACTGTAGCAGGAGGAGCTTCCGACAAAACCTCTCAAACACCGGGTTAGGGAAGGATTTGGCTTTATTCGGACGGGAGCTTCAGCAGACTCGCCTCTCCACTGCCGGGAGCTTCGGTAGACTCGCGTCTCAAGAACCGAGCTTACTAGCATTGGTCCACATCTTGACTGTGTGTGGGGTTTTTTTGTTTTTTGTTTTTTTTTTGTTTGTTTGTTTGTTTAGATGGAGTCTCGCTCTGTCGCCCAGGCTGGAGTGCAGTAGTGCGATCTCGGCTCACTGCAACCTCGGCCTCCCGGGTTCAAGAGATTCTCCTGCCTCAGCTTCCAGAGTAGCTGGGACTACAGGCACATACCACCACACCTGGCTAATTTTTTGGTATTTTTAGTAGAGACAGGGTTTCACCACATTAGCCAGGATGGTCTTGATCTCCTGACCTCGGAATCCGCCTGCCTTGGCCTCCCAAAGTGCTGGGATTACAGGCGTGAGCCACCATGCCCGGCCATCTTGACTCTTTGGTGGGCACAAAAGGCAGACTATTCTGGATTCAAATCCAAACTCAACCACTCCCCCTGGCTGTGACCTTGAAAGAGTGGTTTTATGTCCTTGGGCATCAGTTTCTTCAGCTGTCTAATGGGAGTTGTACTCATGCTACCAGTCTCCTGATAGCAAGGATTTCCTGAGTTCATTCATAGAAAGCACTGGAATGGTGCCTACTATGCAGGAAGCGCCTCATAAACCGTGCCTATCCTTAGCCATCTCATTCTTTTTTCAAAGTTGCAAAATATTTCACTGTAAGATACTACCATAAAATAGAGGCAGTATCTACTCATGAACTTTTAGGGTTTTTTGTTGTTATTTGTGGGGTTTTTGTTTTGTTTTGTTTTTTGGCTTTCTTTTTTTGTTTGTTTGTTTGTTTTTTTGAGAGTCTCCCTCTGTTGCCCAGGCTGGAGTGCAGTGGCACCATCTCTGCAACCTCCACCTCCTGGGTTCATGCCATTCTCCTGCCTCAGCCTCCCGTGTAGCTGGGACTACACACGCACACCACCACACCCGGCTAATTTTTGTATTTTTTGTAGAGACGAGGGTTTCACCATGTTGGCCAGGCTGGTCTCGAACTCCTGGCCTCAAGTATTCCACCCGCCTAGGCCTCCCAAACTGCTGGGATTACAGGCATGAGCCACCGCGCCTGGCTATGAACATTCAGGTTTATTCATCCACTCAAAAATATGTACAGCCCTGACCTCCTGCCAAGCGTCACAGGGGGACTGTTGCAATAAGATCCCGGTACCCATTTCTCTACCCACGCATCTAGGTGTACGGGTACGGATAGTCGCGTGAATTTAAAATGCTAATCTATGGTGCCAGTGGCTCTCAAAAGGTAGAATCCACTGGCACACCCACCTCCAGGACTTGGCTGGAAACTTGCACATTTCGGATGGCAGGTTTGGGAACCGCTGCCTTTCAGCAAAGGTGCTGACGTGGGCCACCGCCGCTTCGCTGGGAAGCAATGGGCCCAGCTAGGCCCCAGGCGCGGCCACACCCCTGTGGGGGAGGGGAAGGAGGCTGCCCCGAAGGGAGTGGACAGCCCCCCTGTCAGTCTTCCAGAGTCTGGGAGTGTAAGATGAGACGGGGGAAGGTGGGCCTCATTCTGGCGGAGGGCAAGGAGGAACTTCCTGCTGGTGCGCTCCACCGTGCAGAGCCCTAAGCGCGCGGGCTGGCAGGCTGCGGCGCGTCAAGGTCAGCCTGGAGCTGGGTGGTGGCCTGCCTGGGGGCGGGGGACCCTACTGGGGGGCCGGGCTGAGGCCTCTCAGCGCCTCCGCCATATTGAATAGCCTCGACTGGACCGTCTTTGTCTGCGAAGTCCTCTCCCAAGTTCCAACCGCGTCCCCGGGGCCTGGGGCAGGAAGAATCGCTGGCAGCCCGCGCGCCCCAGCTTGGAGCTGGGACACCACGTTTCCAGCTTGGAGTGGGCCTTGAACCTTGGGACCGACCTCGCCCCCGGCTCACGTAGGCATCCTGGAAATTGATTCTCCCAAGTCCTTGGTGGAGGAGCCGGACTTGGTCAAGACTGGACTTGTTGCAGGAGAAGAGATTGGAGGCGTTGGCTTGTCCCTGGCTGGGGAGGTGAGACTCTGCGGTCAGCGTTGCTGGGACTCCCCCCATCCAGTCCCTCCCTCAAGACTAAGGGCTACAGTAGTTTGTTGGGGCTCATTGCTCCCTCACCCCAGATACCACCCTGGAGATCTTAAAGACTCTCGAGAAAAGCCACGTGGGGGGCTGGTTCCCCTGGGGCTTCCTCCCGTCCCCCGACTGCCTCATTCTTTGGAGCGTCCCCGATGTCTGCAAAGATGTGGATTTGGACGTCCTCGTGGAAGCCCTAAAACCCGTGGGAACATTTAAGAAGATCGGCAAGGTGTTCCGCAAGGAGGAGGACTCCACGGTGGGGATGCTGCAGATCGGGGAGGACGTCGACTATTTGCTCATCCCCCGGGAGGTCAGGCTGGCCGGGGGCGTCTGGAGAGTCATCTCTAAGCCTGCCACCAAGGAAGCAGAATTTCGGGAGCGGCTGACCCAGTTCCTGGAAGAAGAGGGCCGCACCCTGGAGGACGTGGCCCGCATCATCGAGAAGAGCACCCCGCACCCGCCCCAGCCCCCCAAAAAGCCCAAGGAGCCCCGAGTGAGGAGGAGAGTGCAGCAGATGGTGACTCCTACGCCCCGGCTGGTCGTGGGCACGTATGACAGCAGCAACGCCAGCGACAGCGAGTTCAGCGACTTCGAGACCTCCAGAGACAAGAGCCGCCAGGGCCCGCGGCGGGGCAAGAAGGTGCGCAAAATGCCCGTCAGCTACCTGGGCAGCAAGTTCCTGGGAAGCGACGTGGAGAGCGAGGATGATGAGGAACTGGTGGAGGCGTTTCTCCGGCGACAGGAGAAGCAGCCCACCGCGCCGCCTGCCCGCCGCCGCGTCAACGTGCCAGTGCCCATGTTTGAGGACAACCTGGGGCCTCAGCTGTCCAAGGCGGACAGGTGGCGGGAGTATGTCAGCCAGGTGTCCTGGGGGAAGCTGAAGCGGAGGGTGAAGGGTTGGGCGCCGAGGGCGGGCCCCGGGGTGGGCGAGGCCCGGCTGGCCTCCATCCCAGTGGAGAGCGCAGGGGTATCCTCCGGCACCAGCCCCGGGGATCCCGGGGATCGTGTGGAAAACGTGGGAGATGTCTGTGCCCCACAGGCCTCCCCTAGGCGATGGAGGCCCAAGATCAACTGGGCCTCGTTTAGGCGCCGCAGGAAGGAGCAGACAGCGCCCACAGGTCAGGGGGCAGACATCGAGGCTGATCAGCGGGGAGAGGCTGCAGATAATCAGAGGGAAGAGGCCATAGCTGACCAGGGGGAAGAGGCTGCAGGTAATCAGAGGGCAGGCGCCCCAGCAGACCAGGGGGCAGAGGCTGCAGATAACCATAGGGAAGAGGCTGCAGATGATCAGAGGGAAGAGGCCATAGCTGACCAGAGGGAAGAGGCTGCAGGTAATCAGAGGGCAGGGGCCCCAGCTGACCAGGGGGCAGAGGCTGCAGATAACCATAGGGAAGAGGCTACAGATAATCAGAGGGCAGAGGCCCCAGCTGACCATAGGCCACAGGGTGCAGATAACCTGAGGGAAGAGGCCCTAGCTGACCAGGGGTCAGAGGCTACAGATCCTCAAAGGGAAGAGGCCATACATGACCAGAGGGAAAGGGCCCCAGCTGTCCAGGGTGCAGGTAATCAGAGGGCACAGGCCCGGGCTGGCCAAAGGGCAGAGGCTGCACATAATCAGAGGGCAGGGGCCCCAGGTATCCGGGAAGCTGAAGCCTCAGCTGCCCAAGGGGCCACAGGAACAGCTTCAGGAGCCAGGGCCCGGAAACAGGTCAAGACAGTGAGGTTCCAGACCCCTGGACGCTTTTCGTGGTTTCGCAAGCACCGGAGAGCCTTCTGGCACACTCCCCGGCTGCCAACCCTGCCCAAGAGAGTCCCCAGGGCAGGCGAGGCCAGGAGCCTCAGGGTGCTGAGGGCCGAGGCCAGAGCAGAAGCTGAACAGGGAGAGCGAGAAGACCAGCTGTGAGGCGAGGGCTAGAGACAGCCCACGGGCCCTCCCTACAAGCATGGGAGAGAAAGTTGCTCTTTCTGCCTCTGAACTTAAAAGTGGAGTTGGAGTGCTGCCCACATCTCCACCTTACAACCCTCTTTATTCTCTTGTTAAAGTTTTGTCTCATGCGTTGATTTTTAAAAAATTTTTTAGAGACAGGGTCTCACTGTGTTGCCCAGGCTGGAGTGCAGTGGCATGATCACTGCAGCCTCAAACTTCTGGCCTCAAGTGATCCTCCTGCCTCGGCCTCCCAAAGTGCTGGGATGACAGGTGTGAGCCACCACGCATACCACCTGATAAAATATATATATATATATATACTGATTGCTTGTAGCAACCCAAAAAATGTAAAGAAAGAATTCGATACAAGGGGGTTCCGTCACCTATAGTTTTAATTTCCTCAAATGCAACTCAAGGTGCTCAGCTTGATAAAAGGAGAGCGGGAGGGCAGGGGAGAAATTGCCTGCTTTTCCTGTCCCTTTTTTGCCTGCACACTTAACGTGGACTGCCTCCTTGGACTTAAAAAGAGGACTTGAGCCAACATGCAAATAAAAAAACATTTATGAACTGGTTTCTTAGCTTTGGACTTGGCAACTGATGAATGCTCTGGGGGTGACCCGGTCCTTCCTGTCCATTCCACTCCCATCCTTGATGATGGAGACACCTGTGTTTATGTTGTCACTTCGCTTGCCATCCTCATGCCCCTGGACTCTGCTGCTTTGGAGGGGACAGGGCCCTTGGTTTGCATACCTCTCCTGATCTTGGTTGTAAGGTACAGTAAAAGCATCTGAAAAATGCGTTCAAAACACAGATTCTGGGGCCCTCAGCATCAGAGATGTGGATTTGCTAGTGGTGCCTGTGTGGCTCTGAATTCTGTTTGCATCAAGCTTCCAAACATCTGGGCAATTTGGCCACTGGACACATTGCAAACTCATTGCAATAAGAAAAGGCCTAAAAGAGGGGCTGTGGTTGGCTGGACGTGATGGCTCACGCCTGTAATCCCAGCACTTAGGCAGGCCGAGGCGGGTGGATACAAGGTCAAGAGATCAAGACCATCCTGGCCAACATGGTGAAACCCCGTCTCTACTAAAAATACAAAAATTAGCCTGGCCTGGTGGCGCACGCCTGTAGTCCCAGCTACTCGGGAGGCTGAGGCAGGAGAATCTCTTGAACCCGGGAGGTGGAGGTTGCAGTGAGCTGAGATCGCACCATTGCACTCCAGCCTAGCAACAGAGTAAGACTGTCTCAAAAAAAAAAAAAAAAGGCTGTGTGTATTGTGCATTAATTGCTTGTGCATTAATTGCTGCTGCTGCTGCTTTTTTTTGAGATGGAGTCTCTGTCACCCAGGCTGGAGTATGGTGGCATGATCTCGGTTCACTGCAACCTCCGCCTCCCGGGTTCAAGTGATTCTCCTCCCTCAGCCTCCCGAGTAGCTGGGACTACAGGCGTGTGCCACCACACCTGGTTAATTTTTGTATTTTTAGTAGAGATGGGGTTTCACCATGTTGGCCAAGCCTGTCTTGAACTCCTAACCTCAACTGATCCGCCCACCTCGGCTTCCCAAAGTGCTGGGATTACAGGCATGAGCCACTGCGCCCAGCCAACTGCTTCCTATGATTGGGAAGAAATTGGGTTGCTAAGGCCCTGTGGAGGTTGGGAGGAAGCTGGGGGCCTCTCTCTGTATTGCCTTGTGTCCCCACAACCCCCAGCAGTGAAAAACAGCAAATGACCAGATTCTAGCCTTGCTGAGGGCAGGAGAAAAGGGAGTTCATGGAGGTCCAGGGGCCAGTCTGTCTTCCTAACTGGTTGCAGGCCTGGCCTAAGTTTCTTATTTTTTTTCTCTGGAAAGTAAAGAATTGTATCCCACCACCCTCCTTTTGTCTTTCTCTCTTCCACGCTCCTCCCTCCCTCCCTTCCTTCCCCTCCTTCCCCTCCCCTCCCCTCCCTCCCTCCCTTCCTTCCCCTCCTTCCCCTCCCCTCCTGTCCCCTCCCTCCCTCCCTCCCTTCCTTCGTCTTTCTTTCTTTTTCTTTCTCCCTACCTCCCTTCCTCCCTCCTCCCTCCCTTCCTTCCTTAAGTCTTTCTTTCTTTTTCTTTCTCCCTACCTCCTTCCTTCCTCCCCTTCCTTCCTATTTTCCTTCCTTCCTTCCTTCCTTTCTTCCTCCTTCCCTCCCTCCCTCTCTCCCTCTCCTTCCTTCGTCTTTCTTTCTTTTTCTTTCTCCCTACCTCCCTTCCTTCCTCCCTTCCTTCCTATTTTCCTTCCTTCCTTCCTTCCTTTCTTCCTCCTTCCCTCCCTCCCTCTCTCCCTCTCTCTCTCTCTCTTTCTTTTCTTTCTGTCTCTCTCTCTCTCTCTCCTTTCTCTTTCTCTCTCTCTCTTTTCTTTCTTTCAAGGCAGTGTCTGGCTCTGTCACCCAGGCGGTATTGCAATCACGGCTCACTTGCACTCTTGGGATCAAGCAATCCTCTGGCCTCGGCTTCCGAGAGCACTGGGATGATGGGAGTGAGCCCCTGTGCCCCACCCCAGCACTTTTCTGAGTGGAGTGGTTACTGCTGGTGCTGCTTGCTGCCTGGCGTGCTGCATGGCCTTGCTAGAGCCCTTTTGTGCATGGTGGTGGATACTTGGCCGTGTAGTCCATGGTTCACAGCCTGGCAAGAATGAGGCCCTGGGGAGTCTGGAAGAAATACAAGCTGTGGACCTCACCTGGAGGGGAGGCTTTGCAGGTGCAGGGAGGAGGAGAGGATGGGTGGGAAGGTTCTGGTTGGTGATGGGGAGGGAGGCTGTCCCTTGCTGCTGCCCGCCTCGGAGCGCAGAGGTATGTGACCGCGGGGACCTGGCCTGCCTGAGGAGCTAGAAGGTAAAAAGGAACAGCAGAGACAGATGCTCGGAGGGATTTGGAGACGGGAGGAGCAAACAGCGTGAACGCAGGAAATGAAGACTCGGAGCGTTTCTCTGCTGCTCCTCCCTGCAGCGCCCAGAGCTGTGGGCTGTCTCCGGGGAACAGCGGGGGCGCCTATGAGAAGGAAAGCGGTGTGGACCCCAAACAAGTGGCAAGATGGATTTAATGTGGAGTTGTGCGGATTTCACAGACATCAAGCAACACTGGGCCAGTCCCTCTCACTGCCACACACGTGTGTACACACACATACACACATGCCCAGTCGGACCCAGGCACACAGGCACAGCACATACCACAGACACATGTACACACACACGCACCACTGGCAGACCACATTCACCAACAGACATGATGATGAACCTGCCTGTACATAGACACGGACACGGACACATGTGTAGCACACACACGTATTCACAGAGGCACACAGATCCACTGCTCCGGGAAGGCGACCCCCACACACCCACAGACCCGTTCACGCAAACACTGCCGTACTTGCAAATGCCAGCGTGTTCACCCGCTCAGGACACGTCACACACTGCTAGATGCCATTGGACGCTTTGATCCCCTCAGCCACATGGGCACACTCACATGTGATCACACAGAAACTCACAGTCAGTCACAGTCACTGACATCTGCCAGTCAGTCACAGACAGAGGCTTGCAGAAACAGTCTCACACCCGGGCGCGGGGGCTCACACCTGTAATCCCAGCATTTTGGGAGGCCGAGGTGGGTGGATCACCTGAAGTCGGGAGTTCGAGACCAGCCTGGTCAACATGGTGAAACCCTGTCCGTTCTAAAAATACAAAAAGTTAGCTGGGCGTGATGGTGCATGCCTGTAATCCCGGTTACTCGGGGCTGAGGTAGGAGGAGAATCGCCTGAACCCAGGAGGCGGAGGTCATGGTGAGCTGAGATTGCGCTATTGCACTCCAATCTGGGCAACAAGAGTGAAACCCTGACTCAAAAAAACAAAACAAAACAAAAACAAAAACAAAAAAACAGTTTCACACCGTCTCCCTGGATTGGTTGGTTTGTTTTAGACAGAGTCTCCATCACCCGGGCTGGAGTGCAGTGGCACGATCTCAGTTCACTGTATCCTCTGCCTCCTGGTTCAAGCGATTCTCACGCCTCCTGAGTCTTATTTGTATACCCGGCCATCCCTGGGTCTTATTTGCATAGCCTTTCTGGGTGGCCTTGAGGCTTTGGGCAAGTCTGTCCCCCACTGAGTCAAAATTTGTTCCCCCTCGAATGAACACAACGTTTTCTGAACTCCTGTTCCCAGCATCCCCACTGCGAGCATTTGGGGAGGCCCCAGAGGTGGGGGGAGCCCTCTAGTAACTGAGACAGAACAGGGTGTTCAGTATTAGATTTCATCCCAGGGGCCTTGAAACAGCGTCTGCAGGGCCAGTCAGTCCCTTGATGCCTCTGGGGTGTGGTTTCAAATGCACGAAGGTTTCCAAGAGGAAGCCCAAAAAACCAGAGATTGGGTTCTGAATCCACCTTTATCTGGACCAGTCCAGCTGCTCCTCATTGTCACCAAAGAGGAAAATAAGAGGCCACAGGTGATTCCAGAACACAGACATGGAGGGGAGGGATGCCACTCTAAGACATGGGGGTGGAGGGGCTGGGTACAGTGGCTCACTCCTGTAATCCCAGCACTTTGGGGGGTTGAGATGGGCAGATCATTTGAGGTCAGGAGTTTGAGACCAGCCTGGCCAACATGGCGAAAACCCGTCTGTACTATAAATACAAAAATTAGCTGGGCGTGGTGGCAGGTGCTTGTAATCCCGGCTACCTGGGAGGCTGAGGCATGAGAATTGCTTGAACCCAGGAGGCGGAGGTTGCAGTGAGCCGAGATTGCACCACTGCACTCCAGCCTAGGCGACAGAGTGAGATTCTGTCAAACAAACAAACAAAAGACACGGGGGTGGAAGGATTTCTGATTTCTGAGTCCCCCTCCCAGGCCCACAGGGTGTGACAGGAGAAGAGGAAATGGTTGGGTACTGAGTGAAGAGAAATTTGGAGCTCAGCTGCCTGGCTCCCCCAGCACCGCCCCTTGCAAGTTGTGTGACCTTGGGCTGGTTACTTGACCTCTCTGTGCCTCCATGTCCTCATGGGAAAGGGGGATCATAGCAGAGCTTTCCTTCCAGCATTGCTCAGGGTACTGAAAAGGGTGTGATGTGTTCGTGCTCAAATCAACCCTAGGAGACATCATCTCGTCTTATTCCTGCTACATATCAGCGGCGGCCAGTTCTTCACTGCACATGCTGGCCTTGACAGAGACCCTAGGGTAGCAGTCCCCGCCCTGGCTGCCCCTGGAATGGCCCAGAGCCCTTGTCCAGCATGCACACAGGAGCCACTCTTGGAATCTCGGGATGGTGCAGAGCACCGCTGGGGCAGCAACAGTCCCTGAAGCTTCCCAGGTGATTCCCAGCAATGGGCAGCCGGGGCTGACAACCGCGACCCTAGGGATCCTAGAGACCATCAGACCCCACAGCTGGGGTCTCAGACTGTGATTCCAGAGCGTTTCTCAAGCTGGTCCCATATCACAGGTGCCTGGGGGGTCCTTTGAAAACTCAGCTTTCTGGGCTCCCGGCCCAAAGGGGTTCTGTAGGTCTCGGGTGGGCCGGATAATGTGTATCTCGTTCCCAGGAGACGTTGACGCATCTGGTCCAGGACCTGACTTTGAGAACCGCTGTCCTGCTTCTTTCTGCAGTCTAGCCTTGAAAGGCCAGGGAAAACTTCGGCGCTTCCAGTGCTCGGGAAAAACCATCGCCAGCACGATTTAATATTTATTTGTTTATTTTATTTATTTATTTGTATTTATTGTTGTATAGACGAGAGGCGGGGAGCGGGGGTTGAGGGTGGGTCACTATTTTGCTCAGGCCGGTCTTGAACTCCTGGC